AGCCTGTCAATGAACAACAATAATCTCCTATATACCAGTGTGCTTACTGCATATAGAAAACCAAAGGATTATTTTGAATGACCAAAGTGCAGGAAACATTCTGACATTACTCCAGAAATTACATATTTTACATTTATTTAATTACGTCTAGGTTTATTTTTTCTCTATAAATACCTAATTGTATTTCCACAATATTATCTCATAAATCTGGTTGCACTAGTTGCAAGCACATTCCAAGATGTGCAATCTTTCTTAATTTAGTTTTGTGTGCTTGTTTTAATAATGATAAAAAGTCAAAACATAATAAAAAAAAAAAAAAACAGGATTATAACTGTACCGTAGTAACATAATGGTAGTTTCCTAGATAAAGCCTAAAGTACATTCTCTATACTCCACACAAAGCCATCTCACTGAGACAATTAAGGGATTAGCCCAACACCATCACAAGTCCATTTCAGCCCAGTCATTTTGAGCAGTTCACACTTCATCATTTCCCCATTGGTCTTTTGGAAAGAGAGCTATTCCCTAGCAATAAACAGAACAAATAAATGACATTTAATCATGACACAGTGTCAAGGAGAAGAAGAATGTACTCACCCCAGGTAAAGTTTTAATATTGTGCAATGCGTTCTGTGCTTCCAGTGCTGCTTTTCTTGTATAAAACGTTACAAAACAACAACCTGCGGATCAGACAGAGAGAGGGATTAGGAAATGCCTGAATATAGGATCCAGGTACAGCCTAAATGAAGATAAATGAACTGTATAGTGAAAGAGGATTTAGAAACTCACTCTAACATGTACAATAGAGTACATGTATTAATGCCAAATGTACTTCTAGTAGAACACAATTTTAAAATACTCTATCTGCGTTAATATATTGTATATTGTAGTGACTGACAGGCCATGTTTTAAATTATATTTCCTTGGAATTTATAATTTAAAATGTATAATATTTTTATATATCTAAAATGAATTAGCATTTTTAATATGGATGAAGGGTATGCTAGAACTAGCATACCCTTTCATTAAACAAATGGAAAAAAAAACTCTTATGTGCGCACAACTATGCACTTTCTTACCTTATAATTGTAATAGAGAACAAGTGAGCTATTTTATATCCACGCTACTACACAATACACATTCAAGTAGAAATTTCAACAACCGCTAAACCCTGACGCCTGAAACATATTTGCTGAGTTAATTGAATGGACTCCTGATGGTCATCCCTAATCAGATGTCAATCCTTGGGCATCAACTCTGCATGAGCACCTTGAAATACAACCGCAGTATTGTTTTTATCTTCCATTGGTCTAACATTTTGTAGCCTAGTTGCTTAAAGGACTAATCTTAATCATTTTACTAAAGTCACATTTATTAGAGTAAAGGTAAATACTCACAAATAATAAAAAAAACCTGTGACATCTTATTATATGCAGTTTCATTTATACAGACCGTATAAATTGTATTGAAGACTAAATCTAATATATGCCTTGCTGTTTTCAAGCAATATGAAAAACAGACATAAGATGACTTACACATCAGGGTGCCACCTGTTATAGCTTTCAAGCTGTCTACTTAGTGTGGATATATATAAAGGTACTTATATACCAGAGAGAACAGTTGCCCAGTCAATTCTGATTTGATCAGGTGATGGTCTCACATCTATGGTGTAGACAGACATGAGGAGGTGGGCACAGTTATTTAGAGAACCTTTTCTAAACACTATTGCCACTCACCTCCTTTTCTTGAAAATTGTACATTAACTCTGGGTTACATTTTTGAGGTTATGGAAGGGCCAAGCGAGATGCATGCCAGATGGATGTCAGTTGTCAAATAGTGCTCGCATGTCTGACCATCCTCTTATACGCATGGCTGTCCTGAAGCTAAAAAGGTTATTCACAAAAGCAGCTAGACTGATTTATTTTGGTTTTGGTTAACAAGCGTAGAATGAGTAAGGTCTTTCTCTTTACTCATTTTATGAGTAAGCCCTAATAATGAAACTTGTTAGAGTTTAAAGATACACAGAGAGGAACAAAAGGTTTTCTGTTTCTACATAAAGACTTTCGGAGCTAGCTGTCACTGCTAGCTCTGCACAATCGTTTTCTATTTACTTTTTTCTACTTTTTTCACTCTTTTTCTGTTCTGCTCGGTGCCTCTGAGGGACCGAGCAGAACAGCCGAGCCAAATGCCGCTCGGCGGCATTCGGCTATTCTCTCACTGCTGTTCGGGATCTTTCAGAATAGCCCGAACAGCAGTGTGAAGTCGAACTCCTTCTGCACTTCGCGTCAGCCGAACATGCTGAGCATGTTCGGCTGATCCGAAGCCACACGAAGCAAGCCGATGTACGGCTGATTTCAGCCGATATACGGCTGAAATCAGCCGTACCAGCCTGAAGTGAATAGCCGAACGGTGTTCGGCTCACTTCACTTCTGATCGGTCATTCACTCGGCTGCCCTCGGCAGCTTTGTGAATAGACCCCTTTGATTCCAGTGATATTACATGGAGTTTAGCATCTCGGATCGTTTTGATTAGGTGATGGTGTGCTTATTGCCTGCACCAAGATTGCAGCCATGACATGGGTTCTGTTTGCAAATGTGAGTGGTTATTGAGTTTTGCTTTGGGTTATCATTGGTCTTTTTCCTGGCTACTTATCAAAATTAGGGCATAAAAAAGCTGGTTTGTTTCTGCTGCCTGAAAGAATGGTAACATCAGGGAATTAGTAAACCGGGATACAGCATCATACAGTGCAGCAAATATAGAAATGTTACTTTTAATCATTAAGACATTTATGAAGAGTCTGGATAAAATCACAACACCACTGTAAGCGCTGAACATCCAGCACTAAAAATACAGTCTCAGCTCTAGTACAGTGCATACAGTGAAGGACAATGGCTTGCTCACTCATGATCTTGTCCATTCAGAAAGTGGATGAACATCACAAACTCTCCTTGTCAAATCACAGAACACCTTGTATTCTGCAGAAAGAATACAAGACATTTACTGAAACAGCCATCCATCAATGAGACACACATCATTAGGAATACTAAATTTTTACATTACATGTGCACAAATAGTTTTAGCTTTAAGCCATTCCATACACACCTAAAAAAACAACTGGAAAAACCCTTTCAGTGAAGTCTGTTATTCTGTTATTGGTATTTTGCAGCTCTGAACAGTTAAATGACTTGTGAGCACACTGCTCCTGCTAAATACAGTTATCTTCATCATAAGTGTAATCATAGTGTGTTTCTGTGGCTTAAATAAAACACAATGTTGCACTATAGTTTTATTTACAAGGTCGGTTTTACCAAAAATTATATACCTTGCATTGTTCAGTACTAAAGACATTTAGCTTTAATAAATAAATGGTCCTAAAAAATAAAGGGATATCATTTGTAAAAACAGTAACCCACAACAACCAATTAGATTAAGTCTTACCAGGTCCCAATAAATTATGATTGGAGGCTGTGGGTTACTGCAATTTGTTAAAAGGCTAAAATACACAACGTTTTAGAGCTTGATTCCCATCTTCCGATATTTGTAATAAACACAGTAGCAATACCTTTATTTTCCTTCTTTGGAGTGGTCATGTAGCTGCATAGCTTCATCTCCTCTGGGTCACTGAGTAGCTTACTGCCACTGGTGAGAGGTAACTCTCTTTCCTGCGTACAACAGGGAGGCAATGGGAGCCAGTGGGTGACATTATGGGGTTGATTTACTAACCTTATAAACATGCCACGAACAAGTATACACCTCTGTAGTGTGTTCCCTCCCAGCATGATCTATTGGTGGAATCTAGACACCTTTGTAGTGTGTACACACCCAGCATGAATTGCAAGGTGATGTCGTGTAAATTAGCTCTGCGTTGTGTTGCTTGCGTTGATGAATGCAGGAATGTAAATGCATGAGCTAACCATTTTTGTCTAAACTGTGAAGCAGCATTATATATGCATCATGTGCATGATTTTTCCATATATGACATTAGTGGAAATATGCTTTTAGAGACTTGCATGCCGCTATTAGAGCGGCGTGTAGCCTATGGCGCATGCTACATGACGCGCACGTACGTAAATACATAAAAACGCGCCATAATGGTGTGAAAATGTGACACGTTGCTCGTGTTTGGTTGATAAATACGTTTTGCTGTGTAAAAATGCACACGCTCCTGGTGCGTGTGTGTGTTTAGGTTAGTAAATCACCCCCCATGGGTCTGTGTTTTCAGCCTGTTGTCAAGCCCACTAATTTTCACTATCAGATTCAATATCATAGCCTGGATTTTTTAAATGGGTCACAAAATGCAGGCTGCAGAATTGAGCAATTATGAAAAGTATCAAGGAGAGGGGATAGGGATATTCACTCTCCATTATAAATTAACCCTTCAACTTATTAGTGGGCTTAAATTGTGGCCTTCAAATTTTCCTCAGGGTATTCAGCACAAAATGTGTAGTGTTAATAGAAAGTTTATAGGTAGGGTAAAATCGAAAGAGTAGGTGTAAGGTAAGATCGAAAGAGTACCTGTAATACCCAGTGATAGGATGTAAACACCAAACACCAAGTTGCATCATCTACCAGCACCATTAAAATGTTTTCCTTAGGACTTGAATAAATACCACTGTAAGGGGAAGTTGGGAAGGCTATTGCGGTAAGCTAGCCAGTTAGCATGCAACCTGTGGGATTCTGATTGGCTATTATTGGTCCCATAGAAACACGAAAAGCAGAAAAAAATAGATTTCTTTCTAAAAAATAACATTGGACAAGGAGCAACGTGCAAAGTGCAAGGAGGGAGTTCCTGTGAGTATATACACTTCACAGAGATAACGTGAGTAAACAAACCAACTACATAATATAGGAAATGTGGCTCACATCATTAAATACACATTATACATGTGTAAACAGTAAAATCAGGCTTTGATACAGAAGTGAATTTCTGTTTATAATGGTACTGCCGCTGAACAAAAGAAAAGACAATTTTTTCAGGTGCACTGTATATGTACAGGGCACCATACAGACTTGATTTCGTGGCCTAATTGTGCCTTAATATAGCACATTAGTAAACCCCAGTCAAGCAGAGAGTGCTAAAAAGTATGCTATTGCATACACTGTTCTTGTGCGTAAAATGAAACCTGATCTGAAATATAATACACCAATATGAAATGTCATTCTTGATGTACAATATGTGCAGAAAGTAGGCTAGGTAATATACGACTGTCTCAGTTTTACATGGCTCTACCTTTTTATGCTTCACAGTGTTCAATAAACATAATTTATTTGTCCTGTGCTCCTGAAGGTGGCGCTTGTGAGCTGAATGTTACACCTTTCTACATGCAGAGTTTTCATCGTTTATATAGTTTTTAAAACTGACAGAAAGAGGCCAAGCATACAAAGTCATCTGTTAAAAGTAACATTATATGTTAATTCTTGGTTTGTGAACAGTATTATATGCACCGAAGCTGCTTTTCTTTTAAGTAGGCCATGTCTATGCAGGCCATTGCATAGACCGCAGCTGCATTTTTCAAATGATAAAAATATAAAAACACACAAGGACTGGCAATGCGAAAACATTCCCTAATTACTGATATATAATTGTAAACAAGCTAAAAAAGGCATTCTGGATTAAGCAAGAAATGTGCCAGATAGAATTAGCTCTAAAACCACACGATATAAAAAAAAAAAAATATGT